CTGAGTTATGAGCGTCCCAGATTATGTAAGAGGCTATTTAGGAAGGCAACATGAACCTCTTTAAACAGTCACAAGATGTTCGACCATCTCACACTGGTGAGAATGAACTGGAAACCCAACAGACAAATACAGCAATTGGTTAATCTTCTTTCCCTGCTTGTGCTGTTTTCTTTTTCTTTTTGAGTTGTTTTTAAAGATCTCTTACTTTAAAATGTCATTTTAAATGGTTAAATATCCCAAAATCAGTGTCATGTAATGTAATGGAAAGCATGCACTTTGATACGTTTTTGTTCATTATGTCATTTTGTTATCCATGTAAAAGGCAACAGTGTTTACTTTTAGTCTCTGCAGTAAAAAGTTGATATTCTTACAAATGTCTTCTAATACGTGTATTTCTTTTTCTTTGTTGCAGACTATGAGAAGACATCGAAATGAGGTGACAGTTGAGTTGAGAAAAGTGAGAAAAGATGCACCATCTGTCTCCACACACTTACACCAGATTTAAGTCAGAGTGTTATAAATGTGCCTGAGATTCCAGACAACTGGGCTCTTCTGTACTGAGAAACTGAAAATGCAGACACAGACATTTTATGTTCAGAGCCACTGAGGGATGACCATACAGTCTGTATATATATGACAAGGTTTTCTAAAAGCTGCAATGAGCTGCAGAGCTGAGCATCCACCACTCATTATTATTACACTGGCATTGCAACTGACTAAGCATTTGTTATGTCAACTATTGTGAGCCATGTATTTTTGGTTAGCTTCAATACTTCAGCCATTCTGTTCAGAGGTTTGTGCATAAAATTTCCTCTTTCTCCATAGTTATTAATTACTCTCCCAAATACTTATTGGTCCATTAATAATCAAAATAACACGGCTCTGTTCCTATTGCTAAATTTAATAATTTTAGTACACCTTCTATAATTAAGTGGTGGAAATGAAGCCTTTTTTTTTCTTCTTCTTCTTCTTGCTCTTGTCCTCGACTGGATCGCAGTCAGAATTCATGTAAATGTTCTCTACCTGCCAGCTGTTGAGCATTTACACTTGATTATTCAAACTAGACTCTATCACTTCATCCAGCTGTTACTGAATTGACTTTTTTCTTCTTCTTGAGGAAGCCATAGTTGGCTGAGCATTAATATAGATATAGCCCCCGGCATGCAGTTACCACATTAACAGTGTGTTTGATTTTGTCCTTTGGTAAACTATGAGAATTAATTAGCTTTGTTGCATTGCATTTATTGTATTGTAGACCTAATGAAGTTATATTCAATACACTCATATTTGCTTGAGAACAAGTCAAATCTTCTGTTCCCTGTCGAGTGGTCTGTATGCTACCAAAATCCTAGAGAGATTCACAGATCTACAAAAGAGCTTTTCTTAAAAATTGTGAAGCCATTTCAAATCTCTTTTTTTGCTATAAAATTAGGTGTTTGGTGAAATGCCTGTTTTGAGGAAAAGAGTAGGATTAGCACAAACAGGCTTTCAGGTATTCCTCCCAGCATATTCAGTTTGGCAAACGCAGTATGTTGCCAAATGATGTTGCACTGCAACAGAGGGCCAGGATCAAACACCGGTTAGCAGACTGCTATATTTGTTTTTGCTGTACTGCCACTCTTCCAACATGGTTATGAAACTGCAAAGAAAGAGGAGTCCATTTTTTGATGTAGTGTTTTGATTATTGGCCTAAAATTTTAGTAACGGGGGGATATACTTAAATTGCATGTGTACAATGTGCATAAAACATATTTGATGCTGTTTCAAACCATTACTCTGCACCAGGGGCTTAAAATGAAATGAGGTCTATGAGATTAAGCTTTTCGGTTTGAGTTGGAGCGTGTTAACATCTACAGTGACCGAACAGTGTAGGAATTCGTCAGGATTAATTATGTGTATATTGTTTGCGATCAAATGATTACCCAAGTCTGCGACCCATACACATCGGTAGATGTGTCTTTGCAGCTCACTGGTGGCAGGGCACAATCGCCTTGATTCTTCTTTAAGGAAAGCAGTGCTCATTTGGATTGGTTTAAGTTCAGTTTTTTTGGCTGTATGTTTTTGCATTATTGTGCAGCTGCTTCTGTTGTTCATAGATTTGATGCATTCAAATTCATCTGAGCAGACATGACCTAAGAATTACTGTAATTCTGCAGCTTGCCCCAAATTTGACCTAGTTATTGGGTACAAGTGAGCTGATTCAACTGGCAGCCATACGTGTAGGGGCATTACCACCATCACCACCCTGTTTCACAGATGATGTCGTACACCTTGAGCCATATAATTCTTTCCATTACTCTGTTATGATTGACCTTAGTTGCATCTTCAATAACACTAAAAATACTTGAGTGACTTCCCTGATAAAATGTAACCTGGCTTTTGCATCTTGTGATGAATCTGCTGAAGTTATAACATAAATCTTGTTTTTGTAGTAGGGGATGTTTTAGATTGTGCAGTTTCCTACCAGTGCTGATGTATTTAAAGCAGAACCTCACCTGGAAAATACAAGTCAGCTTTTTTATCGGTATAATTTGATGTGTATAATCATGATTTGTATGTGCAAATAAGTTTCCAGAGTCAGAAGAAACTGGGCCTAAACCTCAGTATGTGATTTGACACTTCATCACTGCTTCAGTGACACTCACTGGGAGACAGCCTTTGTGTGACAGCACCTGGTAGGGTATTCCTTCCAGACACCAATGCATTTTCTGGTTAAAACTGTCAGCATCTAATAGGGAATAAATGCATACAGATGGTAAATGTAGCCTAGTAATCAAGTTGTCATAGACTGAAGCAGATGTTTGATGTTACTTGATGAGATCAGAGTCAGCACCTGGATTACAACTGTGAGTTGCCAGGATGTCTGTCATGCTCTGCGACCTTTGGAATAAGTTGCACTGTCTTCACCCTCCAAAGAAACTGGGGGTGTTGAAGGTTAGGATACAGTGTAACAGCTGTTGAAGTTTAATAGCTTTAAAGTGTTGCTGAGAAATAAGCTCTGTCCTGCACTTTTTGAACTTGCTGATGGGTCTGTGCTTGTTTTCATTTTCACACAGTTGGAGGATGATTAGTTTTTTTTTTTTACAGTTTAATAAATCAGTCACATGTTAGCTGGCTAAGTTCTTTTTGTTTAAACATAATATTTGACAACAGGCGGAACAATGTCAATTGCTTTTTTTTGATGAACTTTGTTTCAATTATACCTAATGACTTTGAGAAATAGTGTTGGCACAACCAGTGTAGTCACAAAGATCCAAACTGAGAGGTGGTATTCCTCTAAAAACATAAATATCTGCAGCATATTTAATGATTGTTTAAGTGGGGGCCATCCTCACTGACAAATATTTGAATCTCTTACGGGAGTTTGCTGAGTTATGTTTTATCAGACTGAATTGTTTCCTGGACTAGGAAAGGTGCATTTAGGTAGCAGAAGTGGTGGTGTCCGCTGAGTCTGGGAACTGGGTGTCGGACAAATAGAAATTTATAGGAACATTTGCCAAGTCATTGCACCATCGTGAAAATCAAGGCATCTAAATATCATACCTCAAACTTCTTTTAGAAGATAGAGTCGCGACTTGTTATTGAGCCATCTGAATTTCTGATAAGAAAAACCCACGGCACACTTTAAGCACTGTGCTGACAGAGATGGTCTGAGAATACTAGTAAACAACCACATAGAGCAGCACAGCAGACGAGGTCACGGCCCTGACTGTTCAAACATGGAATGTTGTTGCTGCAGAGTGCTGAGGTGGTCTGGATCAGAGCAGCAAGAAGCACTGCAATAGCTGGTTAGTCATCAGTGACGCACATCAGCATGATGCACAGTATGTAGGGCAAGGGAATCTCCTCCTACCACCGACTCACACACCCTGCAAATTGATGGAATGTGTGGGGCCTTCTACCTGTTTCTGTGTACATGACATGGTTTTATGGCATATAATGCTACAGGGAGTTTGTTCAAACAAAATTCATATAGCATCTATAAACAACATTTTCTGCTTCAATATAACTAGTTTCTGTGCACTTTGTTTTGAAAGCTCAGTTTGGCTAATTCCCTTGCTGTTTCTCTAGAGGACGGACACCCAAGCTGAGCCTGAAAGGTTTGGACAGAAATTTAGAACTCGTGTTCAGGCTTGGGTTCGGTCACACAGGTCAGACTGTAGACCAAACCACCGTAATTGCACTTGTAAATGTTTCACTTGTAAATGAATGTTTCTTCTTTAGTCTAGTTTAAAGTGCTAGGCTTATTAAAACATGAGAAGCTAGTTAAGTGCATGGCTATGCTATCCATGATAGGTGAGCGAGGCATATAGAGAAACACCACACAAACTCAACTGTGTTGGGCTCAGCCTGGGTTCGTACATGAAATGCAATGTGCTTGTCGTGTTTGGTATGTGTTTTGGCCGCAACTCTCTCTGGCTGAGGTCAGGTTTGGACAGAAATTTGTGGCCTGATCCATACTTGACCCTTCTTATCAGTGATGTAATTAGCAAGACTCTGAGATCTATTTCGACTGTTGATAACTGCTGTATTTAGCAAAAAACAACTGCCCTTCTCACTCCTGTGTTGCATTTCCTTTAAATATGCTGGGGGAGAGACTTCTAGTAGAATCTGAGTGTTTATGTCATGGATTAGCCTGCAGCCAGATTTCTCAGACTTTCCCACTTAGAATGTGGATTCAAACATGTAGACTGTATTCCAGAAAGTAAAAGTTTGGAAGAGAGAGTGATTGTTTTTGAGGTATGCCTGCTACTTTAAAGGATTCATAAATGCATTCATGAGCACTTTTATCTCCTCCCCTTATTGCTTTTCTGTCTTTCTTTCCTCTTGTCAGAACAAACGAGACGAACATCTACTGAAGAAGAGAAATGTCCCACAGGAGGAGAGTCTGGAGGACTCTGATGTTGATTCCGACTTCAAAGGAGTAAGTGTGTGCATGCGTGTGTGTGGGCTTGAGCGAGAGGAATTAATGAGTCTGGATAAACTGGTCATAATTGTTAAAAATGAACTGTGTAGTGTGTATAATGTGAATGCGAATCATGTGTGATGCACAGTAGAACAGTTTCAATAAGGTGTGTTTTGGGAGAAATGTTGTTTTTACTGGGATTGCCTCCAAAATAAAATCATTTCCAGTGCAAATTAAATATCACTACCTTTTCATGTCATGTTTGTTCTGTCAGTAATATGACATATATAAAAAAAAATCCTCTTAGTTGAGATTGAAAGTTCATTCTTGATCTTTGAAAGAGCAGAAGTCAGGTTTATTTTAACTTTCAATCATATCACATGATCTTCCTCAGCAAATCGAGTTTTTCCTGCAGTCATGGATGTTTTAGGAATTGGTTCTGTAGAGCAGATTAAAAAAAAATTCTTTAAAGAGCTCGGAGAAGTAAAAATTTGACCATGACAAGTGGGTAAACGCCGTCTGATTAGGATATAGTTGGAGGCCGCTATTAAGCCCCTTTTCCATCGCTTGGTACCGGCTAGACTCGACTCTACTTGCTTTTTGTACCAGCTACTCCTTTTTCCACTGCTGATAGCTACTTGATAAGATATACAGTGTGGTGGTTCACATAACATAATGGTTATCTGGGAAATGTCACCATAAATCTTGCTGTCTAACACTCATGAGAGAAGTGGCAGCTATTATGAGTGAATGAAGAACAAGTGACTGGCATCATCACATGTAAACATTCAGGTTCATCGGTGGCTGAGTAGAAGTGACGAATTTCTCTAACCAATTGTTAGTCTGCAGTGTTTACACGTCACTGTTTGGTATCGCTTCAGCTCGCTTGGAACCTCAATGGAGGTGATACCAAAAATGGTACAGGGTACTATCCCCAATATTTGACTGATGGAAAAACAAATGAGGCGAGCAGGACAGAGCCAAGTCGAGTTGAGTTTAGCTGGTACCAGGCAGTTAGTTACGAAGGGGCTTTAGATGGCTGGATCAGTGAGTGGATTTGTAGTGAAGTTGTAGACCTTGACATATTAATTGGATCTTCACTGGAGAGAAAGAGACTCGTTTTCTCCGACTTCAGATAGTATTGCATATCGCATATCCAGTGTGTTTGAGACGGAGATTTCTACTTCATAAAGATCAGTCTCCTAAGCATAAAGCACTTAAGTCCCATTACATATTTTTATTTAATTGACATTACTTTGTAGAAACCTGTTTTCACTTTGACATTAGAGGTTTTGTAATTTTGTTTTGTCAAAAAAGCCAAATTATATTGACCATGATTGATTTATAAAATCAATAAAAGGGTAAAACATCCAAGGGGGTGAATACTTTTTATAGGCACTGTATAAGTTGGGCAGGGCCCTGATGACATCCGTCACAGAACGAGGAGAAGTCCTTGTAGCAGATGGACAAGCTCTGAAGTAAATACAGTGCACTACTGTACTGTGCTGCTGAAACGTTTGCACGTGCTCCTTGATTTGATTTGATTTATTCTTTCAAGCATGTAAAGACAGTTGATATGTCAACACATAATTTTACACATATCCAACAAATGCTAATCCAATATCAATTTGCTTATACCTAGTACATGCTTGAATGGAGTAGGAAGAAGTCAGACTTATCCAGTCCTACCCCATGACATCATCTTACCATCATTGGTTTACAAGCAGTATCTCTACATAAATAATTATCTTCTACACCACACAAGTAATATACTAAAAAAATTATAACAGAGTGTTAACATTCTTACATAATTACATTCTTAAATAATTATCTTCTACACCACACAAGTAATATACTAAAGAATTATTACA